ATATGTTTTTCTTTGCTCACATTTTCTACAGATAATTTGGTCACTTCTTCCTTCGATGGTTCCTTCTTTGACAGAAGGAAAAACCTTACCTGACAGCAAAGCATTTGTCATCAATGAGGCAAGAGGCAGAATCAAAAATCTTGAATGGACAAAACCTGACAGACAAGTTCTTACTCATTTTATACTCTCATTTTGCAGATGAGGTAGGCAAGACATTTCAGAAGTCAGATCCCTTTCCTAAGGTGACAGAGATAAGATGTGGCAGAGAAGAGAGAAATACTCAGATCTCCCTGTTTCCGGCAAAGGGTTTTCTGAGTCACCCCAACATGCCTCATGGTTTCTGTCCACACAAAGGCCAGGCCAGCTTTTAGGAGATCTTAGGTATATTTTTATTATGCATGGTCCTGACTGTACCATTAGGCCAGCGTGTTTCAAAGAGTTTTGTAGCTGTTAAAATCCTTTTACAACGAAAAACACTCTGCAGAGGAGCTGGCAAGAATGATGCTTTGATCCAGAACCCAGCACTATAGGGCCCCTTGTGGTCATGCACAGGGACCTCTGCGAACAGCCTGAATGGCTACACTGGGCACCCACACGTTTTCTTTACAATTCTATTTTTCCATGGCACCTGACAACAAAATTTACAATGCGACAAGGCAGATGTGAAGAAACACTGGCTGATGAACTAGTCACTGAGGCTACTGGGGGAGTATGCATTTGAAATTGGGGAACTGCCTATAGATAAACACATTTTCTATTAACTGCCCTTAAGAAATGTGTAGTTATTGTTTTTCCAGTACATTTCAGCAATATAACGATCTGCGTCATCCTTATGGACACGGAATCTGTAAACACATTTATTTCCCTCAGCTTGATTCTAGGAAACAACTGAATAGCACCTTGTAGTAACAAATAGAAACCCAGCTTTACCTTACATTTCTAGCCTTATTTTCTCTTTGATTTGATGTCTTTGACAACCCCTCTCTTGCCTTGTTATTCTGTCATGCTTTATATATTCCAGTCAAATATCTTAAATAAGTTTTTGGAACAAAGCAGGATATTAATTAATTAACAACAAAAGAGTTTATAATTTTTATTTAATCGATGGTCATTTAAAAGACACACCACTAAATAATGATTCTGAGCTTTTTCAAATGTCTTAAAGAATTATTTAATTTTATTTATTATTTTAAAATTTCATATAGGGCACATGCACACAACAGAGAGAGGAGAGAAAATGTGAGAAAACAAGCAGCTAGGTCTGGGACCAGAACCGCAGTCGGCCATGCGCGAGTTCAGCACATTACCCACCACACCACCTGGGGCCCCTTGAATGTTTTAAAATATAAGATTAAATATAAAACATTAAGCTATGCTGCTGTGTACAGTGCTGGCATGATGTTCTGCAATGCTGGAGCCATATGGAGGATAGGGGTTCAGTTCCCACGTGGACTTGTACAAGCCAGGTGTGTGTGCCTTTCATCCTGGCTGACAGAGTGCTGGGGGGAGGATGGTGGCATGGATATCTGTTGGAGTTGCTTCTCTTTCTCTATCTCTCACATTAAAGAAAGAAAATAAACCTAAATATTAAAATAAAATAAACCTACCAGCAGTTAGAGTAATGGCTATGTTGCTGGACTCCCATGCAGTCAACCGCAGTTCGAGTCCTGGACCCGGTGGCTTAAACTCATGCCAGGCAGGTGTGCGTGCGTGCCCAAGATCCTGAGAGAAGAATGGAGGAGAAGGGATTGCGGCGTGGCCATCTCCTCGGGGGTGATTTCTCGCCTTCTGTCTCTCTGTCTCTCTCCGTCTTTCTGGTGAGTGCACGTGCCCTAAAGCAAAAACCTCTCCAAAAAAAAAAAAGAAAAGAAAAGAAAAAAATATTAAAATATAAGATTTGGGGAATTCCAGAACATATGTCATATTATGATCATTCTGCTGTATTTATATTTGTATGCAGTGAAAAATAGAAAATGTATTCTTTAGGTTTCACCTTAGTTTTCTCTGAGTGGACAGAAGGTTACAGTTATGTGATTAAGAAGAAAAAAATCACTCTGATATTTTTAGGAGTAGCGGCTGACTAATCTTTCTAATCCTTCTACTCCCTCCTCGCCTGTAACCCTTATATAGGTCAACAAAGCTTAATAAAGCATTAATGGAGAAAAGAAATTATTAGTTTTTTTGAGTCTATTTCTAAATCAAAAATATTCTCACGAAAATATGAGTAAGAGTTTGTTTTCAGTGAGATTTTTGAGGAAATATAACAGGTATTTTTCAATGATCGCAAATGAGGTAGACTTCTGCCCCTTCAAATTACAATCTGATCCTCTTGCAAGGAAAGTGTTAGTATAAGTGAGAAATACTGCAATTAACAGGGGCCAAGGAGGGTACTTCATACTAAGTGATAACTGATGAGAACTAAATGTTAAAATTACTAAACAGAGGTAATAATAATTTGTATTGCATTAGGGTTTAATGCTTAGTAAAAAACCGTGGTAATATTGAACATATAATTTAGCATTCTGACATTGTTGAGGTCTATAGTTCAGTTGGATTAAGCATTGCCACAATGGCATATTATCATCACCACTATTCCCCTGCCCCTTTGTTTTTGTTTTTTTTTGAGAGAGAAATTTTTGCTATAGAGCGCATGTGCTTGCCGGAGAGACAGAGAGACAGAAAGCAAAATCACCCCCCGGGGGGATGGCCACAACACAGTCCCTTCCCCTCCATTCTCCTCTCAGGATTTTGGCACCCACATACTTGCACCTGGCCTGTGAGTTTTAAGCTGCTGGATCTGGGACTCCACCACAGTCAACTACATGGGAGCCAGCAATATAACCACTATGCCATCCACTGGTCCCACACCACGATTCTTTTTAAGAACTTGCTCTCTTTTTTTTTTCAGAGAAAGACTTTTTGCTATAGGTGCATGTGCTCACCAGAGAGACAGAGATAAAGAGACAGAAAGTGAGAAATCAGCCCCCAGGAGGGATGGCCATGCTGCAATCCCTTCTCCTCCATTCTCCTCTCAGGATTTTGGGCACATACGCTCACATGGCTGGCATGAGTTTTAAGCCTCCAGGTCCAGGACTCAAACTGTGGTCAGCTACACAGGAGTCCAATGATGTAACTATTAGACCATCTGCTGGTCCCACACCAATATTCTTTTAAAGAACTTTCTTGTATCCCGAATACAAATTCTGTGTTCATTGCAAATAACTCCCCAGCTCCCCCTCCCCCAAGTCCTTGGTTACTCTATTCTACTCTTCATTTTGATGAATTTGCATATTCTTCCTAGGACCTTCACATACGCGGAATTATACAATATATGTTCTGTAAGTACTTTTTTAAAAAAAAACTTATTTACATTCATTCACTGTACATCATTACGGTATACAAAATGAGATTTTTCATCCAGAATACACTGTATATTAGCTCAATCAAGGATATTACCATATGTGTTACTGTCAACAAATAATTTTCCATTTTTTATTTCTTAGATTTTGCCCCCCCACCCTTGATTCCCTACCTCTCACCCACCACCAGTTCCCATCCTTCTTCCACACTGTCTCTGGTATCTACACTTGATTTCCATGCCTTTTTCCCCAATATTTTATCAATTCACCAAAATATGTGAATTAATCTAAATACTTTAAATAGCAATTGTAGTTGATATATACATATCTATGAACACATATCTGACTTTAGACATAAACCTCAGTGAGTAGAATGAACATACTATAAAGTAGCAGCTAGCTGGAGCTACATAGCTTACTGCAGTCATTAGAAAAGGTATTTCTTCATGCATTTTTTAATTTCAAGAAAAACAGTTTTAGTTTTAATAGATCAAAATCAAGAAAAGTTAAGAGAAGTTTGCTTAAGGCTTAAAGCCAGGAAAAAGGTTAGGATTCAGTTCAAACAGTAGGTAGATGAACCTACTTTTTGTCTTCAAGAGAAGACAAAAATCCTTAAATCTGGAAAACAAAGCATAGAAAAAAATCAGTAATGTTTTAGTCAAAAGTCACAAAATTCTATTTCGCCTATTCAGTCTCATGTAATTAATCTCTTCTGTTGAATTTGCACTATTACTGTGATCTGATCCTTCTGTTTAAATTCTGGAAGTTAACATTCAATGTTATTATTAAGTTGGCCATTCTCTTGGTTGTTTTTTGTAATCTTATTTTTAACTTTAGTTTTCCCAGTATAGCATTCCCTTTAGAGTTTCTTGGAGAGCTGGTCAGGTGTTGATAAATTCTTTTAGGTTTTGTTTATCTGAGAATGTTTTTATCTTTTCTTCCCATATGAGGGATAATCTTGCTGAGTATAGCATTCTTGATTGAAATTACTTTTCATTTAACACTGTTTAAATATATTTTCCCATTCTTTCTTTGCTCACATTGTTTTCAATGAGAGATCCAACGTCAACTTGATGGGATGTCCTTTGAAAGGAACTTGACATTTCTCTCTTGCCAACATTTTTTTTAAGAATTATTTTAACTTTATTTTATTTATTTATTTATTCATTTATTTATTTATTTAAATTTGACT